ATATGTGAGCTGAGCCTCAAAAGATATGTGAGATTTTAACTGCAGCCCTTAGGTGAGAGCCATTAAATTGAGAAAATAGGGTGTGCTCAGGAAATGTGAGTGTGGCACGAAGATACTGTGCATAGGAAGCGTATAGTCAGATATTTTCACATGTGTCTCCCTCACTGAAATCTAAGATCCTTGAGGACAGAGCCTGGGTCTTGTGTATCTAAAAACAATCCCTCCCCAGTTTCCTCAAGTCTGCACCATTTGTAAATGTCCCCAGATCTTAGAGGACCTTGTAAACCAAGAGAAGGAATATGTATGTTATCCTGAGGTAACGGGAAGGTCTTAGAAATTTAAGCAGGGACATTACTATATTTGCATTTTAGGATTTGCCTGGTTGCAATAGAGGATTTGGAGTAGGGCAAGAATTTATGGGAGAAAACACCATAATCAGGTGCAGTCATCTGGGATCATTGTAATAACCTGTCTCAATGCCTCCAGAATTATTCTTCTAAACACAAATTGGATTTTACTCTCTCCATTTCAAAAAACCTTTCCAAGCTTTTATGTTTAGAATAAAGTTTTCAGGTCCTTCATAATGTGAACCTATTCTACCCATCTGGATTTTCTTTCTCCTGGGACCTCCCCTCACATGCTCTGGTTTGTCAGCAAGGACTAGTCCTCACACCATGTGCATGTGCCCCTTTGTGTTCATTAAGGCTACTTATCCTCTGAGAAACTTACTCTTGGTCTTACTGAGGCACTCATTTCGTTCTCCCATGCAGCGTAGGGCCAGATGGTGATTCATTCATCTAAGCTCTGCCACACAAGCTAGCCTAGCACTTGCATTATAGGTACTTGGCAAATATTTGTTGAGCAGATTTGAACTGTAATAGTAGTACGTGTACTTGGATTCATTTAATATTTATTGAGCACCAGAAACCATAAACAAAAAGATCGATCCATTTAATTACATTAAAATGTAAAACACAGAAATTAGAAAAAAAAGATAAAAGACAAATTGGGAAAAATATACAGAATACATCTGACAAAGAGGTAATTTCCTTAATATATTAAGAGTTCCCAAATCTGAAAAAAAAAAAATGGGCAAAGGAAATAAAAACAGCCATTCCTTTTCTCACTCATCAACTGTAAGGCTGAGTTTTAAAGAACCCAGTGGGATGGAGGGTGTGAGGGAAGATACTCCCAGGCTTTGTTGATGAGAGTATAATAAACTGGTACGCTCCTCATGGGAGTGTGATTTTTCCATACCTACAAAATTTAAAATGCAGAGACCTACAACCTAGGAGCTCCCTTCTCAGAAATTTATCATATGAAAACAAGAGCAAACAGCCATACAAAGATGCCTGTTGCAATTTTGTTTCTAATGGCAAATCCATCAGGGTAGACTAGTTCAGTTATGGTATGTCAAAGCAATAGAAAACTGCAGCCATTGAAAAAAATGGAATGAATCTATAATCTCCAATGGAGAATTATTCCAAACTATATCACTATGTGGAAAAAGCAAGGTAACTCCAGCTCATGTACTATGATGGTCCTTTGTGCTAAACCAACAAATAAATATACAGATGTTTATATATACATGGAAAACCCTGAAAATGCGACATCATCCGCTTCTGGGCAGATTTATTTACATTGTATACTCTTTTGCATTGTTTGAACCTGCATATTTGTTAATCTGTTCAATTTTAGAAGTCAGCCCTCCCCAAATACACATTTGTTGATTATTTATTACACAGAAGCATACCAGGCATTATAAATAGAAACATAAATGATATTGCTTATATTCCTCCAGCTTCCAAATGGATACAGCGAATTTGAAAAGGATTGCTTTTACATACTGCACGGTGCACCACCCTGCCCCATCCTGTGGGGAATCTAGAGATGCTTCCTACAAGAGTGAGATGCACAACAACACAGTAAAATGCCTTCCACCTGTTTTGTTAGTTGATAGTTGGTATCAAAGACTTGCCTAACTCCTAAATTTCTCATGGCACTCACTAACATCCTGACACCATTAATTTATCAGGTTAATTAGCTTCACCTCTCTCAAAGTACAATCTTGAAGTGAGAAATACAATGATGGCAAATTTAACAGTAGTGATAAGAAAAACCCCTGGAACCCTAACCCTCCAAAGTGATGAAATTTTATCTTGAACAACCTGAAGTCATCAAGGTATGGGTAAAGATGCAAACAATGAATTAGTAGGTAATTACTGAAAACTAATTTAGAATTTAACAACTTTGTCCAGGTGAAGCCATATTATAATCATATATGTTGAAGGTTTGCTGATCAAAAATATCCATTAGTTTGTCATTAAAAGCACTTCATAGAAAATACGTTCATCGAAACCAGTCATCAAAGAGCAATCAAGGCCGTGTGCTGCTGGCATAAAAATAGACATATAGATCAGTGGATTAGAACTGAAAATCCAAAAATAAACTCCACAAATACAATCGAGTCTCAACAAGAGTGACAAGACAATGGGGGAAAGCATAGCCTTTTCAACAGAAGGTGCTGGGACAAGTGGATAGTCACACGCAAAAGAATGAAGTTGGACTCCTAACTTCATACCATCTACAAAAATTAATTCAAAATGGATCAAAGACCTAAATGTAAAGAGCTAAAACCTCAAAACTCTTTAGAAAAACATAGGTGTAAATCTTTGTAACCTTGAATTAGGCAAGACAATTAGGTGTCATCACACTTTCCTAGATATGACACCAAAAGCAACAACAAAAAATAGATGTCATCAAAATTAAAAACTTTTGTGTTTCAAAAGACATCATGAAGATACAACCTACAGTAGCGGAGAAAAAAATTATAAACCATATATCTGATGAGACATGTATTTAGTATTCATAAACAACTCTTCTTACAACTCAGTAATGAAGATACATGACCCAATTTAAAAATAGGCAAAGGATCCAAATGAACATTCCACCAAAGAATATGTACAAGGGGCTAATATACACATAAAAAGATGTTGAACATCATTAGCCACCAGGGAAATGCAAATCAAAACCACCAGTTCACACCCACTAAGATGGCTGTCATTAAAGACAGATAAGTGTTAACGAGGACATGAAGAGACTGGAACTCTCATACAGTGTAAAATGGTGCTGCCACGTTGGAAAACACTGTCAGTTCCTCAAAAAGTTAAATATTGTTACCATATGACCTAGCAATTCAACTCCTAGGCATATAACCAAAAAGAAATGAATGCCCTCACAAAAACTTGTACACAAATGTTCGAGAAACAGCATGACTCATATTAGCCAAACAGTGGAAACAACTCAAATACCTATCGACTGATGAATCAATAAAGTGTGGTGTATCATACTATGAAGTGTAATAAAAAAGAATAAGTACCGATGCATGCAACATGACCCTGGAAGACAGGTGGCTAAGCCAAAGAAGTCATTCACCAAAGACCACATATTGCATGATTCCGTTTATATAAATGTCCAGAACAGGCAATTCTAGAGACAAAGTAGATGAGCAGCTACCTAGGTGTTGGGAAGGTGGGGAGGGTGGTGGTAGGAGGAAATAGAGAATGTGTGCTCATGAGTGCAGGGTTTCTTTTTAGGGTGATGTGTTCTAAATGATGAATGTGTTTGAAACTCAATTGTGGTGATGACTGCACACTTGTCAAAATACTAAAGACCATTGGATCGTACAGTTTAAATAGGTGACTTATAAATGAATTGTATCACAACAAAGTTGCTATTTAAAAAAAAAAAAAAGAGCTATGCCAGGACAAATAGCTATAGGTTGAATGTTGATAGACATTTAAAGAGGTGACATTAAAATTCCAAACTCAAATAAAATAAGCATGCTTAACAGTATTGAAATACTTCTCACATGAGTATATTAATTTCTTGTCAGCTCCTATTTTAATTCATCATTTTTAGAGCAATCCATAAAAAGAATTTCTGAAACAATCCAGAAATTCAAACAGAATTTTATTCAAAATAAAATCACATTTAACTCAAATAGAATCATATTTAGCAATTATGATCCTATGGCTTAAAAACGTGAGCTGAGTTTTGGACTAAGACCAATGAGATGGACAGTTTGTGTCAGCAGCCATTAAAATTATACTCTAGATCCTGGACCAAATGAAGAAAAAGGACACAAACTATGTTTTTGTTGATTTTCTACTACACACTGACTTTTATTAAATGTCTTTTATAATACTTCTGTAATTGAAGCAAATGACTTTAAAAGGCAGTTGGCATGAGAACTGCTACACAATCCACCCCGGTCATGATACTAAATATTCTTGTTTTTACATCATAATGAAGTTGAGCTATAGTTTCATCCCAGCATTCACCTGATGAACTCCACGCCCTTTCCTGCCCATTCATCCTACAAATAGAAATCCTTCTAAGAGAATCAATGTTTTTCTCCATTACCATGGTTCAAAAATACTATGCCTTCACAGTTATCCAATATTTATGGATTTGTCACAGAATCCTTTAACCATGCCTTGCCATGAAGAACAAAAATAAGGAACACCAGTTCTTTTGCACGCCATTTAAGCCCAGATTCCTGCATCCCTGCTTCCCACCTAGTGAACGTAATAACCTAAACAAAATGAGTGAAGTAAGGATGGAGAGCTCAGTAATGAGCCTCGGATCTGCCGCAAAGGAGACATCTGCCTTCGGCTTACCTTCCCATCTTCTCTTCCGGCACGCCTCCACCACCTTAAACCAGGCAGGGGAGAATGCAGACAAATCCCCGAATTTGGCTCAAGTTTTCCTTCCATTTTGTTGTTGCTCATATCAAACACCGCCTTTCTTTCGCCTCCATTCAGCTTTTACTTGTTCGCTCCTACTTTTCTTTCAAGACCCAGAGAAAAAGTCAACTCCTTATACAGCCTTTCCTAACACTTCCTTAATTCCTAGAAGTAAATTCTGGGAATTAAGTGACACGGCACAATCGGCAGTGGCATACCGCCAACATGGTACCAAGAACAAACACACAGGACACAGGGGTAACTTAATTTTATCTGCCTTTGTAGAATTCAAGATCTATCTGGGTAAGGCCTATAAGGTCTTAAAAGATTACGGTAATCATTTATTTAAAATATTCATCTGCTTTTAAGTCAAATAAACAATTTTAATGCAAACGTTCAATATGGCATCTTTCCCATTGCTCCCAAGATTTCGTCTCGTTCTGCCGCTGTAGGCATAGGTGGCTCCACTCCATTCTGTCTTCTCTTGACCATGACAGAATTCTGTGTGTAGGTATTTAAAAAAAAAGAAATCAAAATCAGTTATACATTAAATCCTAATCATTTGCCAGTAATTTGTTATTGCTTCCTCAAAAAATTCTAAAAACCAAGTTTAAAAAAACCCAAACAACTAATTCTACGACTCCAGATAAAAGTTTTTTCAAACAATTAACAATTGAATATAAGTGATTATTCCAATAAGAATACATTAATAGTAACTGAGATGGTGATATGCTATGTAACTATAAGAGCACAATTGTACAGTCCATCAATGAAACCAATAGTTAATTCAGCAGAGACAAAGAAAATAGGTGGATCCAGTGTTCAGGGAAACAGAAATTACATACTAATGTCTCAAGAAAAATGGGACAATTTAAACCACCCTGGGTGTCAGTGGAAGACGAAGAGGCAGAAATGGAAGCCTAATGAGAGTTATGACAAGTTATCTATTCTGTTCATTCCCCAAGAGAACTAAAATTATAACAAGGTTATTTTTTAGGGCTGCAAATATTTATACACCTAGGATGACCCATCTACATTAGAACTGCATCCTTATACCTTGGCGTAAAATGTGGCAGCTAAGAGCTCTCGAGGATCCTTTAGAACTAAAATAACACTGAGGGTAAAGTGGAAAAGTTATGTTTCCGTACAGCCATCTCATTTAGTGGGTACTAACTGCAGGTTTCAGTTTTAGGCCTAGGAGATGAGTTAGACTAACTCGTCTCACCAAGCTAGACTTACCCAGAATTTCCGGCAGTTTTTGTACTTCAAGAAGTAAGTGGAACACCTTTCCTTGTCATAGTTATTTTCATCCATACATCTGGTAGAAGCATCAGATTCCTTAAATATGTAAGATAGGCATCATTTAAGAGGTGGAATAGGATCTAAAAAACAAACAAACAACAACGCAAAAAAACAAACTTCTGAAGCTGCTTTCCCCAAAGAAGCTAATATGAAATACTTCCTTTTTGTTCCTTTTAATGAACAAAACTGAATTACCTTTTTAACTATTCCAGCATTCATTCTGCTCGGGGCCGACATCTTCCTTTTCATAGTCTGAGTCAGTTTTCTGACTATCTAATCACATGAATTTGAGCTGAAGCCCAGTAACCATTTATCAAAGAAGGCGAGGCAAGGTGTAATGTGCTCAAAATCACTGCTACACAGCTAGACTTAAAACCATCTACCGACTCGGAGTGTAGCTCTCCCGCTTTTCCAAGTTCTCACTCTGACTTGACTGTTTTTGATGTTAATGATGGTTTCTAGATCCAACACCATTCATCTCCATGTCTTTTTGGCTATCACTCACTTCATTATGCAAGTAAATATACTACTGTATAAGCAATTTTAATAGACATCATTAATATCACTTCAAAACCAAGTGAGCAACACAGAGCTATGAGTTCGAAGGAGGGTAGCTGCCATTTGAGAATTAAATTTAAGCTGTGTGAAATGGAAATAGATGGGATAACAAACTTCGCAGTGAAAGGTATGATTCTGAGAGGTTATCTAAAGAAAAGCTTTAACTAAAGGAGTACGTTATTTGCTTCATAGATCTAAGAAACATTTTATTCAATAAAGCAGTTGAAAACCTATCTAATATACAGAACAAATCTTAATTTCTATGCCGAAGAGTTAATGAATGTGTATATTTGGAAAATGCATATAGGATCAGGGAATATCGTTTTCATAGCACCAGTCTGATGACAAAGCCACAACTATTGTCATATCAAATAAATGCCAATAAAAGCTTATTATTACAGCAAAACATTTTGCTTATCTGATACCTTTGTGAAAACCCTTAGGCTTTAATTAGACTGATTCTATCATTAGTCCCTTACTCTCGGCCGGGTTGTCTCAAGGACATGAAATTATTGCTATTAAAACATAAATTTCACTGACAGTTTAAAAATATCATACTTTTCAACTTTTCATGTTTGGACTAAAAATTTTCCTCAGTTTTACATATACCTGTCTAATATTACAGTGACAACTAAATGCTTGTATATTATACAAATAAGTTAACTTAAAAGAGGTAAAATCTTTGTTAGCTAAAATATAAATATCTAACAATGCTCTAGTGAAATAAGGATATGCTGGCTAGAAATATTTTTGCACAGAAATAACTCTAAAAAGAACTACAGAAAACAAAAACAGCCTGGTAGATACAGAGAACAAACTGATGGTTGCTAGAAGTGGGGAGGTGAGGTTATGGGTGAAAAAGGTGAAACAGAATACGAGATACAAACTTCCAGTTATAAAATAAGTCATGAGGATGTAATGCGCAGCACAGGGAAATGTAATCAATAATACCATAAAAACATTGTACGGTGACAGACGGTTATCAGACTTATTTTGACGATCACATCATAAGGTATATAAATGTCACCTCTCTATATTGTACACCTGAAACTAATATATGTCGACTATGGTTTAATTAAAAGAAAAAAACTAAATTAACTAAATAATAAATAAATAATAGTAAAAAAAAAGATCTACATGAATATATACTGGATTTCTGGGTAGGAGGAAATGTAAGACTTCTATATTTCAAAAAGTCCCATTAAAATTAAAAAGCAAATAAACTGAGAAAGACATAAAAAAAAAAAAAGAACTGCAGAAAATATATGCTCACAAAATCAGAAGAAGCCTGTATTTCTAACTTAACACTCATAAAAATTAAAAGCAAACCACCTTACCAACAAGCAAGGATTAACGTCAGGATCTCTTAGCCTCCGCGCTACCATGGGCATCCTAAAAGTCTTCTCACTGCAGATAGATATTGGGGAAAAGAGTCACACAGTGCATGACAAAAAAGGAATCAATCAATCTCGGTAGCCCCATAAGTACTTGAAAATTAATTCTGGCATAATGATTAGGTAGTGAGAAACTTTATATATCCTCTGTATTTTGAGAATGAGGACTTTGATGTGCTTTTCCTTTGCATTGCCATAGTGCCTCAGCACAAAGGCCATATTTTTTAATACATCTACTGAAATTTGATAATAATGTCCAGAAAGAAAAATAGTTCAGCTATAATTCAGTTTCAGTTTATTCTCATTTCTAAAGGTTAAGAAATTAAATATACTAGCAAAATCTAAGAATACAGCATGCACTATAACGATTACTTCCTTATTAAACATTGATTAACATACAAAATAAGTGTGGAATAATTTAGTACAACCTAACTTTAGCAAAAACATTTGTTAACTAAAGAATCTGAATGTCTACTCTGTGGCCAGCACTGGGGTGGCCAATATACCAAAACAAATTTACTGCTTAGCTGACATTTCGAAGTTAAAAAAAAAAAGTTGAAACCTTACTTCCAGTAGCATCTTCTACTTAATTGAAGGAATCCGTGAATGCTACTAACTTAAATATTTCAGTGCTTTTTTGTTTCAACATTTTGGTATACTATGGATAAGTCACCCACAAATATTTTTAGATGCTCTGCACTAAGTTCAAAGAGCTGAAGTAACATATTACTGAATCCTTTACTAACTCAATCATCTTCTACCTAAAGATTGAAGGAGAAGCCAGCAAATATTGTAGTATGACCTACAAAATGCCACTCAATAAAAAACTACATCAGTATAACCAGACAGAAGTCAGAATCTTTTCCTTGCCCAAGATGGTACCATCAAAAACTAAGATATATTGAAAGAAATAAAGCACATTCAGGAAAAATAATCAAATCCCACAAGTTCCTATAAAGTGGAGGTATTCTCAATCACAAGTCACTTATGGTTTCTTCTATTCTGAGAAAGATCAGGTTGTCCAGACTAAAAGAGACCAACTTTTGAAAAGAAGGATGGAAAAAAGTTTAGTCATTCTGGGGTCCTTTAACTTTTTGTACCCACTAAGTAATCCTTTTATTTTATGATTTTCATTGAACAATACATGAATATACCTATCTAACAGAAACATCTTCACAAAAAGGAAATTCAGGATGCTGTTCAATTATATCTAGAAGTGTCTTCCTCTGCTGAACACAATTCTTTTGCAGGCTTGACTTCTTCCTGGAATGATGACACTCACAGCTCTCCTTTTTACATCTATCCTATGATGTGAGAACACAGAACTCTGCCTAGCTGTTCTTTTCCTTAGATATAATCTCAACAACAATCAGACATAGACAGGTTGCATGCCTTACAATGAAAGCGTCCTACTCTGCATTTTATTATCATTACTCAAGAATTCTTTAAAAATAACACCTAGGTAAAATCGCATATAATCAAATTAGGTTTGCAGCATGAGTTTATTCACATTCCCTTTCTCTTCTGAGTTCTAAATGCAGGTCAATCTAAGTTTGGATTTCTGAATGTCACCTTCTTTGCATCAATTTCTCATGTATTAACTGGAATGTCAATTTACAGTGTGAGGCGGGGCTACAGGGCAAGCTCTAGTGCTCAGTTAGAGAGGCCTCATCTATTCAATTTCTGAAGGTACCAAATAAATGTTACAAAACTCTACCTGCCAGAGAGAAAACCAAAAAATTGAAGGAGAGGTCGCACAAGCACAGAACATTTGAGGAACTCTAAAATCTTCTCCAAAGGGCAAACTGCTTTAAAAAGTATTTCTTGATTTCCCATTCAGTGGTTCAAGTCCCCACACTCCAAGTGCTTTGAAAGGGAAGGGGAAGGGATCTTGATGAACACGTCCGAGCCCACATGGTGGTTAGAGCCAGGCAGGGTCTGTGGCTCCGATAAAACGCAAAATGCAACTATTGGGAGGCTGAAACACGTCATGTAAGAACCTATAGTCTTTCACCCACTGCTAGGTGCAGAGAGACAGGGTCAGGAAGTCGGGTGGCATATCGGAGGGAGGCGGGGAAATCGAAAGGAGAAACCAGAGATGCAAGTCTGAGACCTCGCTGTCTTCCGTGACGCTGCCTGTCTGTCCGACGGTGGACGGCGGGCACAGGTGAACGCACCTTGCTTCGACCTTCGACAGTGCCGAAAGGGGCAGGAGATGAGGAAAATGGAGGAAACTGGGGGGTAGGTGCAAGCAATTATGCTTCAACAGCTGTAAGGGAGGATGAAGAGAGAGCAGGGGTGCCCAGCCAGGGGTCACTTTCCGTGCCCCGGACCGGAACGGACCCGTATCGCGGGGAAAAGAAGCGATGATAAGGGGCCCGCGCTGCGGCAAGACCCGGTGGACTCGACTTCGCGCGGGAGTGGATTTGAGCCCTAGGGAGACACAGGTGCGGCCCTCTCTTGCCCCTTCCCTGCAGCCGCCAAGGAGGGAGAGGAGCGGGACCACTCACCTCAGGCGGCCGCTCAACCAGCAACCGGCAGTCTCCAACACCAAACACGTCAAGGGCTCACGCAGCTGGACCTTAAGTAGCGCGCATCCCAACGTGCTGCCCCCGCTCCCCGGCGGCCGCCGGCCCAATCGGCGCGCACCGCTGCCTGACTGACAGCCGAGATGGGCGCAGGGAGGCGGCGGGTGGGT